CGACCAGAGCGCAGCGCGGGCACTGCCGCGGGACAGGTCGGGAGCGGCCTCCCTGACAGAGCGCCGCGCTGACAGGGCCTCGGCCGTCGAGTGCGCCATCCCCGCCGCCGAGAAGATCCCTGAAGACGAATGGAACTGGCATTGCGGGCGTGAGCAGCTCTTCGGGCTGCGATGGGCACGGCTGAAGGCGCCACCTGGTTGCGCTCACATGAGGTCTCTTACGATGGAATGGCGGTGGGCGGTCGAGTCTATCATCGCGCGGTTTTGATCGCTTGTGCGCAGCGGTTCTGACAGTTATCAACAGCAGCGGTGCGTTGCCGCTCTGGTCGCGGCCCCCCAGTCTCACGCGAAGTGGGCCAGAGACACGTGGGTAAACAAGCCGAGGTGCCTCCTTCAGCGCGTGAAGGACCTTGGCCCGCTGGGGGTCCTGGAGGCGCCTTTGCGATGGCCACCCTGGCGGCACATCGGACACGCAGGTCATCGCGGCGCGGGGGGCGCAGCGCTGGGCCCCCATCTGGACCGACGCAAACGCTGACTCAGAGGCCAACTTCAACACGATGGAGGTCCTCCACAAGCAGGCGAAGCAGCAGGCGCTGGACCCGCTCACCGTGGAGGAGCTGGAACAGATGTGGCGCAAGATTCCCGGCTCCAAGGCCAAGTGCGTTGACGCGCTGGGGCCCGCCGACCTGCAGAGGCCCCCCCTGGTCGCTAAGCCGGTGGTGGTCGCTTTTCTGAACGCGGCCGGGCAGGCGGGGTCGTGGCCCGCGCAGTTGCCGTTGACGCTGCGCGCCTTTCTCCCGAAGCCTGCGGGAGGCGAGCGCATCGTCGTCGTCCTCCCGAGGTCCAGGGCTCGGTCGGGGGCCGCGGGCCGCTGGGCGGACGGCAGGAACGAACGACTTCTGGGGCACGGCGGCGAGGCAGTCGTCGGTTTTGCGCGCCGCCCTCTTCAGGGCCGCCATGGACGAAGCAACTCGCGAGCTGGGATTATCCGTGGCCGCGTTGCTGCTAGATGTGGAAGAGCTCTATGATAGGATCAACGTTGTGAAGCCCATGCAGATCTTGTTGGCCCGGGGATTCTGCCATCGTGGCCCTTCTGGAGACCGCGTGTTTCTAGATCCCAGAGTCTTGGAATCCTGGGCCATGGCTAGTCATTTTGCGTTTCCCACGCGGCCCCCGGTCGCGGTTTCGCCCAAAGGAGCTTCGCTGGCCAAGCTTTTCCCGGGGCCCATCATGGACGAGGCCAAGCAAAGACTGGCCCTCATCCAGGCCAAGGCCTCTTCCGCCACCCGCGTGTGTCGACGACGCCGCAGCTCAGTCCGGGGGGGGGTGCGCCGTCGTGGTCGGTCAGATGCCAGGGCTCGCTGAGTCGCATGCGCGGCCGTTTGCTGAACAGGCCCCCCGATCTCATCCAAGACCAAGCTGGTCGTTAATCCCCGCATCGGACCTCAGCGCGCGGGCGTCTTCAATGGTCGGGGGGTGGCGGGGGGGGGGGGGGCTCTCTCTCGCCAAATGCACGGTGGACTTGGGGCGCGATGCGGTTGGGGGGGGGCAAGGGCCGCTCTAGAGGATTCAGAATCAATTCGCTACGTGCATTTGCGTCTCTGGCCAAGGCGCCCCAGGGGCAGTAGCTCCAAGGTGCTCTGCCGCAGCGGGCGCGCGTGCACCGGGCCACGGGGCCCCCCCGTCTTCAATTTTGCAGCTCAGGAGGCGAGCGGCCCAGGCGGTCGCTGGGCGGGGCCCAGGGCGTTGTCTCACCACCGCGTTGGCCATTTCGCACGGGGGCACCCTGGGATCAGTTTACGGATTCAGATCGGCCTTTCTTGGCCTGACCTCTGGGACAAGCGCGCCTTCCTCCGTCTTAGGATTTCCACCGCGCGGCCCTCAGTGGCTGCGCGTCTCGGGCGCGGCCCCAAGTTATGGCGGCGGAAAGTCTTTGGGCCTAGTGGGGCCGCCATCGCCGCGCTGAAGACGCGGGCTGGCCGCTTGTTTCCCCGCGGAATGGCGCGGGCCTGTCGGGCCAGACGCGTTTGAAACCTGGCAGGTCCCGAACAATGCGTTGATCGAATTGCTGGCGATTCTGACGTCGCCGAGCTCGACGGCGACTTAGCCGAGGACCTTGATGTTCAGCTGTGGCATCAGGCGTCGAAGCACTTTCACGGCGAGGATCTCGCGTCAGGCGCCGACGCGGTCATGCTCAGGTCTCCGCTCCAGAGACTTCTTGGGAAAGGAGAGTTTGATCTGGCTGGGCAGACGGTCGCCGTGGTTGCTGGTGGCCAATGGCCTCGCCAACGCTGGCTTGCCCAGGGGCATCCGGTCTCGCCCAGTGCCCGGGTTGCGGAGACCCTGAGGGGCCCTTTTTTTCCATCGGGCGTGGCAATGCGGGAATGCCCCGGCAACGAACGGGACCTTGCCTATGAGAGTTCAAAGCGTTCAGTGTCCCAGGCCCGTGCGGGCCACGAGGCCAGCCCGAGTCTCTGGCTGCGCGGTCTCCAGCCGCGACGCTTCGCGCGTCCTAATTGTCGTGGCGGGGGCGAGGGCGTGGACTGGGGGGCGGGGGGCGATGTGGATGCGATGCCCGACCCCGTTCGCGAGGATGGTTTCTCTTTAGTTTTTGGAGACGATTCGGGCGGGCAGTTTAGCAGCGACCCTCGTCGCCGTCGCGCGGGCGCGGCTGCGATTGCGCTGGCGCCTGCCTCTGGAGGCTGGCATCTAGCCCGCGGGTGCGCCGCGTCCCTTGTGGGTCGCCGTCAAACGGCGCCCAGAGCCGAGATCCGAGCTTTCGACATTGCTCTCGGGAGGTTTTCTGGCCCTGTTCGGTTCTTCACTGGCAAGGCGGCCCTTCATAAGGGGGCGGCACTCCAGAAGGCAGGATAAATGTAGAGGCCCCAACTCGGATCTGTGATTTCGAGTCCGCGGTTCTCTTTCGGAAAGGAGTGAGGGAGGGGTCCAGGTTGTTTGGTGCCCGTCGCACGTGGATCCTGAGGACCCCTACCTCTTCCCACAAGAGCGTTTGTACGCCATGTTATCGCGGGGGAGACGGCCCAGTTTTCCTGGACCCATGGCCTGCAGGGCCAGAGGCCCCCCCGACATTGACGGTTCGGATTGCGCGGCGGCGCTGGCCAGGCGCAGAGCGGCCAGAGCGATGGTGGATTTCGTCAGTGTGTTGCGCCCTGGCCCGCCGAGCGGCCTCCCGAGGCCCGTCGGGCCCCTGAGGGCCTTTTGGGGGCCCTGCGCAGGAGCGAGCACTGTTTGTTTCGACCCGAACGCAAGTGGCTGTGCTCCGTCTGCCACACAGTGGCTCCTGTGTCACAGGTGGCGGAGTTCAGTTTGACGCCGTGTTGCGCCGCGGCCCTGGACCTTTTGAGTCTTTATGACTGTTGGGTGGTGCGGGCTAGTGGGGGCGGCGACGGTCAGTGGGATTTGCACGTCTGGCCCAAGTGTGGGTTGCATGTTTGTTTGGCGTGTGGTAGAACGGCCACGGGAGACCTGCGTCATTCAGTTTCGGTGTGCAGCACCCGCACCAAAAAAGGGCCTTGAGAAATGCCAACAAAGCAATGCGTCTTCTATGCTTGATGTTGCCAGCTGTACCGTGTGAGATCGACGGCACACTCAGAGTGTCTTTCGCTGCCTGCTATTGCCAGCCTCTCGTGTTTCGACGCGCGGAGGCGCGCGCCCCAGGCCTGCGTGGTGGACCATTGTATAGGATCGTTCGGTGGTCCTGCGACAGCTCGCCGCTCATTGTACCGCACCGCTTCCCAGTGGCTATGGGCTCACTCGTCGTGTAAAAAAGCTCCTCCTCCTCCTCCTCCTCCTCCTCCTCCTCCTCCTCCTCCTCCTCCTCCTCCTCCTCCTCCTCCTCCTCCTCCTCCTCCCCCCCCTCCTCCTCCTCTTCCTCCTCTTCCTCCTCCTCCTCCTCTTCCTCATCCTCCTCCTCCTTTTCCTCCTCCTCCTCCCTCGGGCCAGTCTACTTCGGGCCCGAGTCCCGAAGTGGCTTGGCGTCCACCCAGAGCGCATGAACGAGGCAGCATGGGCAGCATGGGGTTCGGTCTTACACCAGACAGGAACTCCAGGACCTAAAACTCCTAGCTAGTGTTTCTCCCTCGTGGCGTGGGCGGCTGTGAGGACGTTGGTGGGCTGATGGGTCCTATTTGCTGGGCTCGGTAAGCAAGATGCCGCGTGTCCTCAGAGATATCCTTGCCAACCCGATTAGTTTAAGCATTACGTCATGCAATGTCCACGGTTTTGCTGGAACCTGGCGCGTGCATGGAGCAGGATCCTACTGGACCCCCTCGTGCGCCTCGCTCTCATAGATGGCCTGCTAGACTCGTCGCAAATTCGATGTTAAAGCCTACCATTGTTTATCGTATGTTGCATGTGAACACGACCAGGGCACGCGCACTTGCAACACGCCTGGCGATCATTTCGAAACGGGTCGCGCTGGTTGAGCTCGCCTTCGGGCACGTCGCGGTCGTCCGGCGATGGTGGCGGCAACAATGGTTTCTTCCTCTGATGCGTTGGGCCTCTTGGCCTTCTTTCTCACCTTCGGTGGCCTCCCTTCGGCACCGCGGCTGGACGCGGCTCTGAGTCAGAGCAGCAAGGAGGTCATGATAATGATGCGTTCCAGAATTTCCAGGATTGCCCGGATTTTCCGGATTCCCTAATGTTCTACACGGGTTGCAGAAAGAAGGGTCTGTAGATTTTCGGGAGATTTTGGAACTTATCCTGAGCCAGTATTATCACGAGATCAGTCCCGCCCTACTGATGAGAGGGGCCAGAGGGAGGACCTCCCTGGAGAGGCCCGTGGAAGGCCGTGGGTAGGACAAGGGGAGAGGCCTATGAAGAGGATGCGGGGGCGTCTCGGAGGAGCATTGCCCCTGGTCGCAAGGGGAAGGAGAAGCGACACCACCACCACCACCACCACCACCACCACCACCACCACCACCACCACCACCACCACCACCACCACCACCACCACCAGGGGGGCCCCCTCCAGCGAGGAGGTCCACGATGCCTCCCCGAGTTGGGGACCAGGGATGTCTCGAGCGAGGGGGGGGGTCGACCACGCCACCAGGGGTGTCGGCCTGTGCGGGAAAGGCTTGTGCAGGATGTTGCACGCCGACTCCCACTTTCTCGGGAGTGGGTGAGCGCGCTGGCTCCTCCTCCCGTCGAGGCTCTCGCCTCCTCGGCCTTCGACGGGCAGCGCCTGACTCAGACGCTGCTTCTGCCTCGCTCGCTCGCTCTGTCCCTGGGGGATGGTGGTGGTGTTGCTGACGCTCCTCCTCGTCCCTATGATCGGGAGCCTTCTCAGAGGCATCTCGGAGGGGGCGGCGCTTGCTGAGGAGCCTCCCACCCAGCCCGCCGTGCCCCCCTCTCTCGCGCATCCGAGCATTGGGACTACGAGTCTCTCGACATCGACTGGGGCAATCAGGACGACTACGCGGTAGGTCCCAGGGTCGGGAGCGGGAAGTTTAGCGCCGTGTTCGAGGCTGTCCAGATATCTACTGGCAGGAGATGTGCCATCAAGGTGTTGAAGCCTGCCAAGACGAAGATGATAAAACGTGAGATTCGAATTTTGCAGCACATGTGCGGAGGGCCCAATATCATCAGGCTGCTGGATGTGATTCGGGACCCAGGTTCGCAAAAAGTCTGGGAATCTGGACCCCGGACCCGAAGGCGAGCCTGTGCGAGCCTTGTCTTCGAGTACGTCGAGAATGTGGACGCTAGCGTTTTGTACCCCACGCTGTCCGACTGGGACATCCGTCACTACATGTTCGAGTTGCTGAGAGCGGTCGACCACGCACATTCACACGGCATCATGCACAGAGACGTGAAGCCTTTGAATGTGGCAATCGACCCCACTAACAAGACTCTGCGGCTGTTGGATTGGGGCCTTGCCGACTTCTACCACCCAGGACAGCATTACAGTTTCAAGGTGGCGGCGCGCTACTACAAGGGTCCTGAACTCCTGTTCGGCATGACCCGATACGACTGCTCGCTGGACGTGTGGAGCCTCGGATGCATGCTGGCTGGCATGGTATTCCGAGTGCACCCCTTCTTCAAGGGGGCGGACAATTGCGACCAGCTCGAGCGCATCGCGCGCGTGCTGGGAACCAGGGAGTTGCTGGAGTACGCAGAGAAGCATCGGCAGGAGCTGGCCCCTAGCCTTGAGGCGGCGCTCGGCAAACACCCTGGCCAGGCATGGTCGGAGTTCGCTACGTCCGAGAACGGGCACCTGGTCTCCGAGGAGGCCCTCGACCTGATCGACCGGATGCTCGTGGTCGATCACGCCCTTCGCATATTGCCGAGCGAGGCGTTGAAGCACCAGTATTTTGAGCCGCTCAGGGTTTGGGGCCAGGGATAGCGAGACGCACTTCGTTTGTGAGGAGGCCATCTCGTGTGCGGTCACGCTTTGCCGCCGCATTATGCCGAGCGAGGCGATGGAGCACCTGTACTTCGAGCCGCTCGCGTCCCCAGGCTGAAGATTGCCAGGCGCGCTTCGTCTATGAGGAGGCCATAGACCTTTCGACTGACTGCTCGTGTGCGGACGTCACGCCCTTTCTGTTTTCGCCGAGGGATCCGCTCGCGTCCCCAGGCTGGGGATAGCCAGGCGCACCTCGGCTTTCAAGAGGCCATCGGCCTGATCGACTGGCTGCTTGTGTGCGATCACACGCCCTGCGCAGATTGCTGAGCGAGGCGATGGAGGACCCGTAGAGTATTTCAAGCCGCTCGCGTCCCCAGGCCTGTGATAGCCAGGCGGAGTGGAGCTACGTCGTTGGCCTACTTCGGGGGGCGATGGACTTCGTCCGCTGAAGGCTCCCACTCCTTTCATCATCCTGTAAATCACCCTCACATCCCTCTTGCTGCTGCTCCTCCTCCTCTTCCTCGTCCTCCTCCTCCTCCTCCTCCTCCTCCTCCTCCTCCTCCTCCTCCTCCCCGTGCCGACGCCATTCGATACTGGGTAAGGGGAAACGCCCAGGGGACGCACAGGGCGCCACTAAGAGTTCCTTGATCTTGAGGAGCACCCCTGGGTAGCCCCTTTTCCAGTGAAGGGCGTAGTCACGGCCTCCCACACGGAGGCAGGGCCGTACGGTCCTGGATGCCCATTCATGTCGATGGACAGTCACGGGCACCCGCCTCTGGTGATTGAGGCCAGGGCGGCAGTGCCAGTTATCATGCATCCGCAGATTCTAAGCGTTTGCCCTCGTCGCGAGGCAGTCGCCTCAAGGACATAGCTCGGTGGCAAGGCCGGCGGTCCTGCACACTCACTTCTCCCTGGTTCTCGTACCTTGTTTCCTGTGGGCGCTGCCGTCGCGAGGCACATGCCTCAAGGGCGTTGCCTGGCGGCAAGGCCGGTGATCCTGCACACTCGAACGTCGGACCGTTGCAAATGTTCGTCCTTTTTGTTGAGACCGTCGGCACTGCCAGCCATCATTCGTCCACAGACTATGCACGCCGACCCCCGTCGCGAGGCTGTCGCCTCAAGGACACAGCCCCGCGGCAAGGCCAGTGGTCCTGAACACTACCTTCTCCTTGGTCTTCGCACCTCGTTTCCTGTTTCCTGTGGGCATTGCCTGGCGGCGACGCCAGTTTGCGTGCAACTGCGGAGTCTGCACGCCTGCCCCCGTCGCGAGGCAGACGCCTCAAGGACACTGCCCGCCGGCAAGGCCGGCGGTCTTGCACACATTCACGTCGGACCCTTACCAAGGTTAGTCCTATTTGAGACGCTGGCTGGCGAGAGTGCGAGCCATCTTGCGCCCACAGACTATGCACGCCATCCCCCGTCGCGAGGCTGGTGCCTCAAGGACGTTGCCCGGCGGCAAGGCTGGCGGTCCTGCACATGTGTATCGTAGCGCCGATCATCACTGGCTGGCAGCAGTGCCAGATTCCGCATCCAAGAACACGGCCTGGCGAGAAGTCTGGCGGTCCTGAACCTTCCCACGCCGAGGCGCTTCCAAGGTTCGTCGCGTTTTGGAAGAAGGCTGGCGGCAATGGCAGCTATCGTGCGTCCGCAGATTATACACGCTCACATCCGTCGCGAGGCTGTTGCCTCAAGGACACTGCCCGGCGGCAAGGCCGGCGGTCCTGCACGTTCGCATGTCTCTCAAGCCCAGCGGCAAGGCCAGCGGCCCTGCACTCTCACAATGGCCTGGTGCTCATCGTCGTCTCCGTTGGGCGCTGCCCTGCGGCAGTGCCAGCTCGCGTGCATCAGCAAATCTTGCCCGCTTGCCCCCGTGGCGAGGCAAATGCCTCAAGGGTCTTGGACCCCGAGCGGGCTCCGGGAGGCCCCCGAACATACTTCCGATGGCCGTGGTCATCAGAGTGTCTTTTCGCGGCTCTCTTGAGGGCTTCTTGAGGCGCTTGGGGGGACCTGTCGGTGCTCGCGCGGCGCTGATTTTGGGCCCCGGGCGGACTCCAAGATGCCCCCGAGAAGATGTTGAGATGGCCATGGTCATATGAATATCTTTTCAGGGCCCTCTTGAGGTCCCCTCGGGGTCCGTGGGGGGGCCTCTTGGTGCTCGCTCGGGGCCGTTTGCGACGACGGTGACCAGCCTGCTGACGCAGGTCCGAGCTATGTTCGCGACTGAGGTGTTGGCACGCGGGGGTCACGGGACACATTCGAGCCGGAATCCCAGGCCCCTCATTTTTTGGATGCACCGGCCTGTCCATAGAAAGGTGGGTGCTTTTTTCGAGCCGTATTCCCAGACCCATCTTTGGCTGCACAGGGCCATCCGTAGTAACAGGAGTGTTCGATGCGAGCCAGAATCCGGGGCGCATTTCCAGTCCCAAGGGCAGGATTTGGCAAGCCCCGTCTCCTGGGCATGTTTTGTGTCGCGGCCTCGGTGTATCAGCTTGGTGGATATCATTAACCCATGCATGCTGCCCCTGGCACCACACTCGTACCTCTTCCTGCGACTTATCGCGTCTCGGGGGTATGGAGGAGTGGGCCGGGTGCGACCCTGCGTTGGGAATCCTCAATCGGTGCCTTTTTCTCGGGGGGGGCGACCCCTCATGCTGGGACGCCTGCCCCACAAGCGTTGACCCCTGGTCACGGGGCTAATTACGAGGCAGAGGTGGCTGCCATAGGAAATGCGCTACACGCAGATCACCCACCAGTGCCAGGTGCCAACATCGGAACCTCGTCTTGGGCGCGAGGCAGTCAGACCTCGGGAGTGGGGCTGCCCTGGACTCGGACGGGGTCAGTTGGGTGCGTCCACTAACCTATGCCCCCATCCAGGGACCCATGACGCGACCGTTCAGACCACAGGGATCCTCAACACTGACCCGGTGGTGTCACCCTTGGGAGGTGGCCACCTATGCCTCGGACATCTTCCGCACAAGCTCCGCCGGCATCCCATGAGGACCGAAGTGCGGGAAACGTTTTCCGGTCACTTGAAGACCGAGCTATGTTTGCACCCCCCGTGGGGCGGACAAACCGTGGCCCTCCTGAGAACGCACATTGGTGCTTGAATTCAGTTTGGTTGATTCTGTCGGCACCAATGTGGACACAACATGGGGCTCACATTTACCACCTTGTGCTCACACATCATGCTTCGGTCCATCGTTCGTCGTCCCTTCATGATGGGACGTCTGACCCACATGTGTTGACCTTCCTCGTCATGGTGCTACAAGGTAGTGGTGGCTGCCACAGGGAATGCGGTTCACGCGTATCACCCAATTACCGGGTGCCAACATCGAGCACTTCTTTCAAGGGTGGGAGAGCCCAAGTGCCCCATCCGATTTGAAAGGGTTATGCCTACCCTGAAGGGCATCAGCACTACACTGCAATCCTCCTCCTCCTCCTCCTCCTCCTCCTCCTCCTCCTCCTCCTACTATTTCTCCTGTTTCATCGGTCGCTCGCTCGATCGCTGTATCCGCTTGGTAGGCCGTAGACCGTAGATCTCCCTTCTGGAGGCCGTGAGGTCAAGCGTCGTGGCAGACTTTTGGGGTAAGAGTTCGGGAAGTTTCTTGGGGACGCTCTGGCCCATCTTTCATCCTTGTTCCTCACCTTCGTCCTCCTCACTCCCCGCCCATGGCCCGTGGCTTTCACCACTTCTTGCTTCTCCCGTGTCTATCCTCACCCAGCCTTGCCCTCCATCCATATCTTCCGTGGACGTGGCCACGCCTGTACCCTGCACACCCACATCATCATCATCATCATCATCATCATCATCATCATCATCATCATCATCATCATCATCATCATCATCATCATCATCATCATCTTCATCTTCATCTTCATCTTCATCTTCATCTTCATCTTCATCAGCATCAGCATTAGCATCAGCATCATCATCCTCATCATCGTCATCATCCTCCTTATCATCATCATCATCATCATCATCATCATCAGCATCATCATCATCATCATCATCATCAGCATCAGCATCAGCATCATCATCATCATCAACATCAGGGTCAAAACCAACAGCATCAGCATCAACATCAGCATCATCATCAGCAACATCGGCAGCATCATCAACAGCATCATCAGCATCATCATCAGCATCATCATCAGCATCATCATCTTCTTTCACCTTCTTCACCTCTTCCTCATCCTCGTCCTCATCAACCAGTCCGCCCTCCGTTCGTCATTCATTCCTTTTTTCCCTCTCCCCATCACCTTCTTGCCCCCGCCCCTTCACCGTCCTTCTCCTGATGTATATTGCTCCCACGCCTCTCGTTGTCTGGACCTGGAGAGCTTCCAGTTGGCTGTCCAATCGCGGCTTCCGCGCGCCTCCGCCACTCGTGCTGTGGCAGTGAGGGGGACTGCTCGATGGGAGGAGGGAGGAGCGATGAGGTCTTCGGAGCGCCGCAGAGGTTCTTGCGTTGGATTTCTTCTGGAGGAGGAGGAGGAGGAGGAGGAGAAGGAGGAGGACGGCGGCGGCGGCGGCGATGACGCTGACGACGCCGACGGCGGTGGCGTCGGCGACGACGAATCGGGCGAGGGGTCGCCGACCCGGCTCGCCAGGAGGCGCCCCTTGCCGCCGCCACGAACGGCCGCACCGTGAACGGCAGCAGGGCCAAGCCCGCGGCGCTGGCTCCCGGAGCGGAGGCGCCATGGCAGGGGTGGCGGACGGCCCAGAGGTCCGGCGAGGAAGCGCAGAGAGGGAGCCAGGGGTGCTGATTGGGGGGAGGATAGCTTGGCCAGGGCCAAGGAATCTTCCATGGTCCCCCCCTCGCCCAAAGGAGGAGGAGGCGGAGGAGGAGGAGGAGGTGGAGGAGGAGGAGGAGGAGGAGGAGCGGTGGGAGGAAGGGGGGGACGCAGGAGGGAGAGCATGCAGAGTTCCGGCCCAGAGTTCCGGCAAGGAAGAGCACGGGGAGGAGGGGTGGGAGGAAGGCGAAGATGGAGGAAGGTGGGCAAGAGGGTACCTTCGGGAGCCAGTTTCATTATTCCAAGTCGACGCTTTCGTTGTGAACGAAGGCGTCCAGGTTCTTTTACTGCTGCTGCTGCTGCACGTGGTGACGCAAGTCACGCGGCCGTCAGGATCCCGACTTCGGCTGAGCCATCAGAAACAGAGCAGATGCTCTGATTCCACCCATGCCAGGGCGGGGCAGAGCTCCAGGGATCGCACATCCACCTCTTCATCCCCCTTTCCTCTTCCTGGAGGTCTCTGGGACCTTTAAAGGCTTCAGGAAGTCGAAACATACCCTCATTGAAAATGTTCGACTCTCAAGCCTCGCTTCTCTTTCCTCTCCCTTCCATGTCCCACTGTTTCGGCGGGGAAGTGTGGTGGTGGGAAGGACAAGGTGTAGCAGGAGGAGGAAGAGGAGGAGGAGGAGGAGGATAAGGAGGAGGAGGAGGAGCAAGGAGAGAATGGTGCAGGAGGGAGAAAAGGAATACGTGGAGGAGGACGAGGAGGCGGCGGATGCGGGGGAGGATGAGGAGGAAGGGGGCCAGCCCCACGGATCTCGAAGGCTTCTGCAGGATTGCAGAAGGATTCGGTCAGGAGGGAATTACAAATGCTCGTCTTCGAGCATCGTCGAGTAGTGATCAATAAGAGCCTAGGGATACGTTTGACGCCCAATTGTTGCAGCCCCTGGGCCCCCGAAGGGTCATCTCCTGGCGGCGTTTGGCAGCAGACTTGTCTTTCGAGCTGGTACTACCGTGATCCAAGACGCTCGAAACTTGTTGGCAGTAAGCTTTCGTAAGCAGGCAGCAATTGTCAGCTGCACTGTCCGGAGTATTGCCAGGTGCGGGTGGTTGGTTTGCAGAAGCGGGGCGAGCTGAACGGCAAGGCGTGGGACATCGGCCGCCACATGTCGTTCTCTGTCGTCGTCTTTTGGCATGTCACGCTCCCAATTATCATGTTTACTGGATGCTTATGCACTTGCAGGTGAACGCACGTTTGAATGTCAAATCCCAGCGCATCAGTATTCTGTAGCGTGACTTTCTGAAAGTTTGTCGATTCGCTCATTCCGCTGGCCTATATTGCATCACTGTTGGTGTTTGCCTTGGAGATTCTAGGGGGCTGAGAGGGTGCTGGGTGGCGGTAGTGTCCCCTGTTGAAAACCATTCGGGGCCTTCTGGGGCGCTCCGAAGTTCATCGGAGGCGGAAAGGCGAACGACGGCCCGCGTGAACGGGCGAAATGTTGTGCCTGCAGCAGCTTAAGTGAATTCTTCGAACCAACGCGAAGACGGTCATTGGTGATAGCGGCGAGCCTCAGAGCGAGACCATGGCTTCAGTCTGGTAGTTTCATGCAAGCCAACGTTCATATCTGAGCGGCTCGTGAGCAACATATCTTGTCCGATACTGCACGCGGCGTGTTTATGATTCTGATTTCCTGCGAGGTGCGTGGGGCATTTTGCGCATCATGGTTTAGCCACGTCGCCTGGGCGTCATGCTTGTCCGTAACGTCGTTCTGAGCACGCGAAAACTTTCACGGCATCACAACAGGATGAGCAGCTTCAGCACGGATTGGAAGGTATGGGATTCCGAAAATTATTGAAGAGTGCTCTCTTGCGTCCGTCAAAATCACGCCAGGTTATTGTCATCTTGCTAGTAGCTCATGCGTTCCATAAGTTCACGTGTATAAAACAAATCTGTCCCACACACGTTTCGGAGACAGCCCGCGGCAGGATGGAAACATCATCTGTTCTCTTTCTGACAGAAGCCAAGGATGATAAGGCAAGGCTGAGGGCGATGGAGGGTGAGGCGAGGGGAAGGAGGGAGGGGGGAGGGGGAGGGGGAGGAGGCGGAGGGGGAGGAGGGGGAGGGATAGGAGGGCCAGGGGAGGGGGTAGGCTTAGGGCCAAGACACCCTCGCCGCACGCAAGCCGTCTAGCTCACTCCCATCCGCCCTGCCACCACATAAGTGGCATCCGAGTCTCGGCATAGACAGGGGTCGCCATTGGATGGGCAGCCATTGGGAACCAAAGCGGACGCCAGGTGCGCGACGCTCGTCTCGGGCTCCACATGCGGTTGGTGTGCCATCGTTGTAAAAACGTGATGCCCCCCGTCCGCATGGTCCAGATGCTGATGTGGGAAACGTCAGCATTGTTCTGGGCCTGCGCACAGCAAGCATCATCATGCGGGCACCACCACCGTCCATAAACAGTACAAGGTGATCGCGGGTGGCCAGCACTATACCCACGACGTTGTCGCAATGTGCATTTTGCATTGTTTTTGACACGGATGGTGGTCCTGCACGAAGCGGTTTCATGAAGGGTGCCCCGCCATCCCTGTCAAAAAACAATACGCCGTGCTCACAGGGCGCCAGCGCACTGTCCAGATTTTGCTGCAATGTGCACTTCGTATTGTTTTTTGACGGGGATTTTGGAGGGTGTTGGCAGGGTGAGCCCATTTTGTATTGTTTTTTGACAGGGATGGTGGGGGGGGGGCACATGGTTCCGGGTTGGCTGCCGGCCAGGTGGGGGAGGGGGTGTTTATCCTTAGGGAACAGTGATAAAGCGGGAGGGGGAGGAGGGAGGGGAGGAATCTGGGTCACCCGCGGGGGCGCGAAGGCCATCGCGCTGCGCCCGTCGCGGCCAAAGCGTCTGCCCTTCTCCAGTGGGGGGGGGGCGGCGCGACGGCGCGGAGATGACTGCGCAGGGCACCGCGGGGCGCGGTGCGCGAAGTTGCCCGGGCGCTCTCACTGAAGGCAAGACCTATCATCACCGAAGGCAGCACATGTTGCACCATGTCTTCAGCAACACAGAGGCGTGCCCTCAGAGAACTCGGCCGCCATGCCTAGGGAGCCCACAAAGGGCATGCGCGGCCAACCGCGTACATGAACACGGCCCCCCAGTCCGTGAGACTAGCCGAGTGGCACGAACGTTCGCGCAGTGCGTACTCTCAAAATCAACGTGGATTTATGTACACGCCAGTCGTTGAAAGCAGGAATTTCCTGCATTCCCAGATCCCAATCTATTTCAAGCGCCTTCCTACTTCAAGAGCAGATATGTTGTTGCTGTGCTTTGTTATTCCCTGGGAGGGTCCTCAACCCCAACCTGCTTCATCCGCCTTCCTGCTTCATGTGATTACTTACTTCCGACCGACGTGTACCCTTATGTCCTGTGTTTCGCGACCCATGCCTTCTACACTCCCATGGCAATGTGGCCCTCGAATGGGTCTCGTGGCTTCTCGCGCGTCCTCTCCAATCAAGATCGACTGTGCACGCCACCAGTGCTCTTACTCCACTCCACTTTCCAGGGAAAGAAGAAGGGTTCAGAAGGTGGGTGGGGAGAGATGGGGGAAGGTGTACGCCCTTCTTTCGCTCCCGACTGCCCCCGAGGTGGCCACCGTGGTGGCCTGGGACGCGGCGGGGGGCTTCTGGAAAGTCCGCCTGCAGGAGGACGCGCCCCCTCGCCGGCGGCGTGCACGAACTGGCGTCGTTGTCGTTGTCGTCGCCGCCGCCGCCGCCGCCGCCGCCGCCGCCGCCGCCGTCGTCGTCGTCGTCGTCGTCGTCGTCGTCGTCGTCGTCGTCGTCGTCGTCGTCGTCGTCGTCGCCGCCCTCGCCGCCCTCGCCGCCGTCGCCGCCAGGGCGCCTCGCCCCGCCGCCCCGCGCCCCCCGCCTCGCCACGAACGCCAGCGGCCTCGCGCCCGGGCGCGCTGGGCCAGAGGCGGCGGGCGTCGGCAGGGTTTTGCAGCGAGTGCGCAGCGACTTGCTCCCGAAAGTCGGCGACGAGGCCCGGGGGGGGGAGGGGGGGAAGGGGCGGATCTTCTCGGAAGGCCCGGAAGTCTCCCGACCTTCTGAGAAGTGTTTAAAATCCCCCCGAAGACACATCAGACTTCCCAACAGGCGGGAAGGCTTCTGAGAAGTCCCGCCGCCTTCTGAGAAGGCTTCTCCTTCTCGTTTCCCCCCCCTCGCTCTCCGCCGAGAAGGGATGCAGCTGTTGGCCAGGCTGGGCACGGAACGGCCAGGCAGGTCTGGTGATATTTCGTGACGTCTGCCAGTCCCGCCCAGCCCAGCAGCAGGGCAGAAGGCTCAGAAGACAGAAGGTGGAGCTGCCTCAGCAGCTCAGGAGCTGACAGATGCGGCGGTAGCGGAAAACATAATGGAATATTTGTCACATAACGTGAGGTTAACCGACCGAGGAGGAGGGAGGAGGAGGAGGAGGAGGAGGAGCAGGAGGAGGAAGAGCAGGAGGAGGAGGGGGAGCAGTTGAGGATGGTGATTCGGAGGAGGAGGAGGAGGAGGAGGAGGAGGAGGAGGAGCAGCAGCGAGAGGAGGAGCAGGAGCAGGATCAGGAACAGGAGAAAAAGCAGCAGCAGCAGCAGGAGGGAGGAGGATGACGAGCAGGTGGAGCAGGGCGGAGGTAGGAGGAGGAGCAGCGGCAGCAGCACCACGAGGACGAAGGGGAGGGGAGGGTAAGCAGTCTGTTGCATGCAGCTGGCTTCGGAGGTCGGGCGAAAGGGGGGGTAGGGGACGAGATTTGCTGCATGCAGCTGGTTTGGGGGTCGAAAGGGGGAGGGGGGGAGGGAACGGGGGGGATGAAGTCTTCTGCATGCAGCTGTTTGTGGCCCCGCCGCCGGGCGCGTTGGGACTACACTGCCGCCGCCTCTGGAGTGGGGGGGGGGGGCCATGAAAACCAGCCGCACGCAGTTGATTCGCTGACTCCCCTTTGCAATCCCCCTGGCCGGTGGATGACCCCTTCTTTCACCTTTGCCTTGTTTTTGTTCGTCCCCGGGCTCCCACTCCGTAATCCTCGGTTCATCCTCTGTCCTTCTCTATCGTTGCCTTACCCCATCAGCTCTGAATGTGGTTGGGCCGGCAAGGATGGGCGCTCACAGCATGCCTATAGACGCTATTACTATTACCAACCACTGCCCACCAAGCCACCCCAACCCAACCCCTAGGGCCCCGATTTGCCCTCCATTTCCAATGGGGGGGGCGGGGAACCCTGAACACAACATATATGAAGCCCGTGCCCCTCCCCAACCCGAAACTCAGGCGAAATTCGGGTCTTCGGGTTGGGTTTGGGTGGTCTGGTAGGTAGTCACCACCTCCGTTCCCTCCGTAATGGCGCAGGACCCGGCACCGTACGCGTACCCTCGTGCACATTCTCAGACACGCCTATGATGAGAATGAATTGTTCCAGAGCGTTCGAGACCCTTCGCTCTGAAACAGCCCCGGCGCCCGGTACATCCTCCAGACCCACCAGGTCTCAGGGATCCCCGATTTATCTTCGTCCAGATGTTTCACATCTTGTTTTCGTCAAGTGTTTCCTCCTAACCGCGCCGGTGCACATTGCAGTGTTGAGCACTTTGGGGGAACACTTTGGGTTTGTGTCCGTCACCACTGGACACAACCCACACTCCCTCTCATGTACCTCTTGTTCTTGCATTCCGCTGCCGTCCCTGCCCTTCCGTCACTCCTCCCCGCCTTGCGCTCTGGTTTGCACACGCCACACTCCGTTCTACTCTGCGCCGGCCCCAACAGAAGCTCCATGGTCCTCCAGCCCGCTTTAAGCACCTCAGCACTGCTCCACCTTTGCCCTTCATTTTGGCTGGTCCTGTCTGGGCGCTCTGTCAGCCTCCTCTCTCGAGGACGGCTCTGGGAAGGCCTTCCGGCCCGCGAACTTGGAGCCCGTGGTCTCCGGCACAGCAGAGGCCAGTTGTATTGAGCGCAGGTCGAACAGAAGCAGTGACCAGAAGTACAAACGTGAGTGAGGACGGATAGGTGCAGAAGGAGAGTCAGGAGGAGAAGGAGGAGAAGAGACGTTGTTGCAATATCGATGACTAGACCGTCCACATGGCTGACCGACCCGATGGCCTAAGACGGCCATGCTCACCCCAACTCAATCAGCCCGGGGCTGGCTGACACGCTGCATCGACGGTTTCGGGCGGGTGCGCGAAGTGAAACATGTGGTGCCCAAATTGGGAATTCGTTTCGTTTCGCGTGTGACCCGCGTGCGGGCGAGGCGAAGTTGCGCGAGTTTGTGGCCTGGTATGGGGCCAACTCATGCTAACATGGGTCGCTAAGGGCCTGGGCCGTCGCTCCATGTTCTCAAGCCGTTTGTCCCGACTGTCGGGACAACCGTGAAAAGACACATTCGTTCAAACAGGTGGGTCCATGAGGTCGGTGGGCATGCGTCAAAGCACATGGGTTCCCAAGTCCCGTGAGCGGGACGACCGTCACCACAGATGGGTTCCTTTTGCCGTAGGTTGAAGCCAATCGTTTTTTTGTTAGTCATGTTTGCCCGTAGGCCTCGGGGCCCACGAACCACATGGGTTATTTTCGGGCGTGAGATAAAACCATGCGTTTTTTCATGTGTTCCTTGCGCCTGTGACCTGAAGCCATGCGTTTGTCCTGTGGTTGTCCCCGTAGATAGTGCGATCGACCGACCCATTGATAGTGAGTCTGGTGGATTCATAGTGACATTCACGTGTATGGCCGTCATGGCTGGCCCGATGGATAGTGAGATCGACAGATCTCTTGATCGTGGTATCAGGTGTACAGTCACACCGATTGCAAGTGAGAACGGTACGCATAAACATGTGTGGGTATGCATGTGTAGCACCCCGCAGTTGCGGACCAGAGTGACGGGGCGCGCGCGGAGTGGGTGACGGGTGGGTCTCGATCTTGTCACGGGCGGGTCGCGGGTGTGTCACGGGTGGGTCACGGGTGGGTAACGGCTGTGTCGCGGGCGGGTCGCGGGTGGGTCGCGGGTGGGTCGCGGGCCGGGTTGCGAGGGGGACGATGCCAACAACGTGGCGCAACGCAACAACAATCCGCACAGCGGAACCCCATTGCAGACACGCACCAAGGGACAGAGAATGACCGCTCGGCTCCCTCACTTTGATCTTGGTAGATCGATGGTGGGACCGATCGATCGGGGAATTTAGGTAGATCGAATGGTTTGTCCCGCTGATTGTCCTGTGATCTGTCCCAATGGTTTCCCCGAGTGTTGCTTGACAAATACAAAGTGTGAGCGACAGATGCCCACGTTCGCCTGGACGACTGCGTATTCTCTCACAGTGGCCGATGCCTGTGGACATTTGAGTTCAGGGGGTCGCCCGATTTTGAACAACGGTTGGGCGCAGATGCTGGCCTTTGGGCAGTGCGCCTTCGACGCCGAGCGGCGGTGGGCCACCAATGTGTTTCATGGGTACGATTTCCTCGGCCTGCGCCCGGCGCTGCACACGGGCGAAACCGTTTTTGATGGAACGCTCGCGCAGGTGGTAGTGGCCAAGGACATCAGCGTGAATGAGGCACGGCGGCCGCTGAAGGTGTTCATGGATCAGGCAGTGACTGAGGAGCCAGTGCAGAAACGGCTCAAGTCGTTCCATGGTTGCCCTGAACGGGCCATGCTGGAGGACGCCGTGGCGTGCCTCAGGGTGGCGGCCCGCTGAGGTGCGTCCGAGGCCGCACCGCCGCCTGGTGTCCGCGCGATGCGGGGACCCCCTTCGCTATCGGAGGTGCCGGCCGGCTGCAAAGGAGAGCTCTCGCGGACTGGAGGCGCACGAGTGGGTCCGGCGCGGGCCTAGCTTGGTCACGCTGTTCTAGGAGATGGGAACACCCTCGCTTGAAACGGCGCGGTCCTGCATGGGCCCAGAGCGGGCGAAGGAGGGCATCGCATGCCGCGCGCGCATCAACACGGCGAGGTCGCACGCGCAGGCCATGGAGACGATGCGCAGATGGCCCTTGCGCGCGCGCGGGGCCCCGTGGCCCGTGACGATCGTGCATCATCGCCTACGTGCATGCCAGGTCCGCCGAGCGGTGTGAGCCAACGGTGTCTGCCCGCCATGGCATGGACAGAGCGCGCGGCAGCCGAAGACCCCAACGACAGACTCTCCACTCGACCCGAGGCCCACCACGTCGTCGCTAACCTGGAGATGCCCCTCGGGGCGGGCAAGGGCCCGACGAGGAGGGCAGCGCGGCCCCCCGGCGCGCCCATCGGGGCTCTGGAGCGGTTGGTCATGGACGAGGACCCCGCGCGGTGCCTATCTGGGGCGGCGTGGCTCCGCCTCGCCAATGCGCGGGCAGCGCTGCGCTACGACGGCCACAGCAAGCCCCCGCCGCAACGCCTCGCCTTCGCGGGCGGGGGGCTGACGGCCGCGATGAGGCGCGCGAAGACATGCGGAACGGGGCGCAAGATGCCGGAGCTGTCGCTTGCGGTATCCCCTGAGTGCTAGATGTTGGGCCCAGTATTGATGCAGACGGTCTTCGACCCGCGGCGGGAGATCGCGGATTTCGAGAGGGGCCATTTCCTGCGCGGTGGGCAGGAGGCTGTCCGCAAGCCCGCCGGGCACGCAGAGACAGCGGCAGCGGGGCGGGGGGCGCCCCAGAGCATGCCGAAGCCAGCGGCGTGCACGGGACAAGTGGTCGATCTCTTCATCTCCGAGGTCGCGAGCATCTGGACAGAGCACTCGGAGCGGGCGACAATCCACTCGGCCACGGCGGCGATGGGGGCCGCGAAGAGCGAGCGCGACTACCTGGGCAGGCGGTCGCCTGGAGGCGCTGATTCCCGCGTGAGGACGCGCCGCGCGGTCGCATCTGAGCTCCACGAACGGTTCGCGGACATTCAGCGCTCCAGGAAGGCCCGCGTGGAGTGGGGCGGCGCGGCAGCCGATCCACGCTCGCCGAATTGGTTGGCGCCGAGGGCAGGTTGACCGCGGTGCCCGAGACTGCGCGGAGAGGCCGCGGGGGGCGACAACCCCAGAGGCCGCCGTTCAAGGCGTGGAGGGCGCCGCGCCGCCGACGGGGGCAGCAACGCCCCCGCGAAGAGTGCGGGGAGCAGAAGACGGACGCGACAGTGCTGACGACGGCAGCTGGACGAAAGTTCAGCCTGGCGAACGGCAGCCCCCCCCCCCCCCCCCGAGAGCACGGGCGCCGAGGAGGTCGGGGGCTGCCACCTGGCGCGCGCGAAGAAGCGCGAGGCGGTCAGGCTCCGCAAAGTCGGGGGGCATGGCTGGGCGAAGGGGAGGTCGCCGCCGAGCCCGACCCACTTCGACGACGTGCCGGGCTCGAAGGATTATGACGTGGTCCGCCAGAGGTGCCGGCGCCTCATCTGGGCCGAGACGGCGTCGGCGGACGCCGAGGGCTCGGGCAGCTCGATGAGCCCCGCCGGCCCCGACGGGTTCGAGGTGGCCGCCCGCGGAGAGGCAGCCGGCCGCGGAGGGCGCCGGCGGCGGCGGGCCCAGAGCAACTTTTTGGGGCAGGGGCGCGCTGGCCCAGCGATGGGGCAGCCGCGCCAGCAGCGGCGGGGTCGCGCGCGCCCCTCCGGGGTGGGGGGCCTGCTCGGGCGCGGGCCGGTCAGAGGTCGCACCCGCGCGCACGCGGGGCGCCGTCCGCGGCGCGGCCCGGGGTCGCCGTGCGCGCGAACAGTGGTCAGAGGCAAATCAAAGGCAGTGGAGAGCCGCGCCCAGGTGAAAGCGCGTTCGTCGCGCCCGCAGGATAGTCCGGATACCCTTTCGACGACCCGTGGACACCGACGCCCCCCGCGTCGAAGACGCCCGCCCCGCCTGCGGGCGCCCCTCCGCCCGCCGCGGGCAGGGGGCGCCCTGCCGGGGAAGGGCGCCGCCCCGCCGGGCGGGGGGGGGCGATGGCCGGCGGGCAGTGCTTCGCGGCCGCGCAGTCTGTCACCGCCATTGCCCCGCGCCGCGCGGGGGTCCGTCGTTCGGTCCGACGCCGCCCTGCTCAAACGGTTCGGACAGAGGCCCGCTTGTCTCTGGCGCAGCCCCGCTTGGCCCTTAGCGCCGCCCGCGCGACCCGGCGCGGGGGGGGGCCAGGCGCATCGCTGAAGGCGCTCGCGCAGGACAAGGGGGGCAAGGCGCTCGCGCTGCCGCGCTCGGATCTGCGCTTCTCGCTCGCGAAGGCGGGCGCGCCTCTGAACGCGCGGGCGCTGGCGCGCGATTGCCGGGCGACGAGCGCGCGGAAGATCCCCGCCACGATGAATTATTATTTCGAGGTCGTCGGGAAGTTCGCCTAGGACCCGCCTGATCGGGCGCGTCGGCCGGAATTGAGCCGCGCGCGAAGGCGGCAGCGCCGACGCGCAACCGGCGCGCGGCGCGCACGCGGATCGAGCAGCCACGGGAGACGGAGGGCGAAGCCAGCGCGCGCGCACTTCTTGAAGCTCGACGAGGGCCAGGCGCGGGCGAGATCCTAACTCGAGGCCAGGCTGAGCGGGCGACATCAGGGCGGGGGCTCTCGCGGCGGTTTAGATCGACGAGGGGGCGAGGGGCCCGACCTCCCGACCCCGGACTGGCCCAGCTAGGCGGCGACGCAGTTCGGAGGGGTTGCGGCCGTCAGGCCCAGCCCCCACTGGGCCCCGAGGTGCCACGGAGGCGCATTGTACCCGCGGGCGCCCGCGCCCCCATGTCCAGCCAGCGCCGCGCGAACAGGCTGGGGCTGCAAGGCGGGGGCCCACAGCAGCGCCCCCCGCGCGCGGGGCACGTCTGGGACCTCGAGGCAAGGAACGCGCGAGGAGACGTCGCTTCGCACCCGCCATGGAACCGGGCGCTGCAGCCTGAAGGGCTCCGCACGAGGGCAACCCGCGCCCTCCACGGGGCGACGCGGGCCGCGGGGAGTTTGGGGCGCGACCCGCAGAGGAGCCAGAGGAGCCAAAGGAGAGCGCTGGAGCGGGAGAGGCGCCGCGCGACCCCTCGAG